GACACCCAGGGGAGCCCGGCCACCAGGCTGGGTGTCCATGTGGGTGGGGGACAGGGTGGGGGCCCTCGGGGGGATGAGTTGCAGGGCCCCAGCATGCAGGCAGATGAGGGTGCTGGTGTAGAGGACAGGGATCTGGGGGCTCCCCAGCACCCGCAGGCGTGATGCTACAGCAAAGGAGCTGTGGTGGGACTTGGGGCAGGGGTTTACCCAGCCACGGTGAGGGTAGGAGGCAGCAGAGCCGTGACCCTGGGAGGGCCCCTAACCATTCACTTGTGGGCTGCACAGAGTCAGGGCTGGGGGGGCCAAGGGGGCGGCAGCACCAGGGGCAGCCGAGGCCACAGGGCCAGAGCAGAGGAAGGAAGTGAGCGGGGGAAAAAACAAAAATCCCCTAGAAAAAAACCCAAACACGCCAGGCTCTGACGTCTCTGACGCCAGCCCTGTGCCTGGCGGGCAGAGGAGCCACTGGTAGAGCCCAGGGTGCTGCAGGGAGGCAGCAGGGCAGGGAAGATGAGGCCGGTGGGTCGGTGCTGTGGCACTGCCAGCACTGCTGAGCCGGGGCTGGGGCTGGCAGGTGCCTACCTCACGCCATTTAGGACAAGGGGACAGGAGGGACAGGCAGTTTGGGATGCTATAGCCCAAAGCCATGCAGCAGGGAGTGGGGTGACCTGTCTCCCTTGTGACTCCAGCCCTCTGTGCCTGTGCTGTGAGCGTGCCTCAGTTTCCCAGGTGGTGAGCAGGGTGGTGGGGCTGGGGAGGGGGACACTACGGTACACAGCAGCACCAGGCACCCTGCCCCCCTACCCAGCACAGCCCCTTGGTGCTTTGTGATGGGGTTTTAGATGCTTTTCCTCCAGCTGGAAGGCTGCCCTGTAAGCTGTGGGGGGAGAAAGATACCCCCCCAGCACAGGGGCTGAATGGGGTGCACGGGGCCACACGCGTGGCCACCCAGCAGTCACAGCCACCCTCCCACCTGTCACTCTGCAGCCACTGCCAGCTCAGGGCCCAGCGCCAAGGGCCCCTTCCTCTCTGCCCTGCGGTGTCACTGTGGGGAGAGGGGTGTGCAAGGGCAGGGGTGCCTGGTGCCCGTCCCCAGGCAAGCACCCGTCCCCGCAGTCCCCAGGAGATGGCAGTGCTCTGTCATGGGAGATGTCTGCTGCTCACCCTGAGGACAGGGGCATCTCTAGGGCCATCCTGGCTGGTTGGGGACAGGCCTCGCCGGCTTCCCTGGCAGGTCCCCAGCCTGTCCCTGTGGCCATGGCTCACGGTGGCGACCACCCCGGGGGGGCCTGCCCCCACCCCCCCGCATGGGAGTCCCAGCCCCACCATTAACTGCGTGAGGGCTCTCACCTCAGGCAACAGCTGCTGGCACAGGCAGGAGGAATGGAGCAGGGGTGCAGGAGGGGTCCCCTGGGTGCCCCCAGTCACCCCATGGCTCCCACCTCGGCAGTGCCTTGCTGTGCTCCCCTCGCCCAGGCAGGCATGTCCCGGGGGAACGTCCCAGCTCCAAAACCCCCTGCCAGGCAGGGATGTCCAGGCAGTCCCCAGCCATGGCTTGGCCGAGGGTACAGGCAAGGCAGGCAGTTGTGCTATGGGGCCTGCCATTCACCCTATTGCCCTGGAGTGGGCATCCAGGGCCATGGGGCAGTCACAAGCCTGGGACATGGTGACCCTGAAGGGGTGCTGGCTAGTGGCAATGTAGCCGAGTGTTGGGGTGCTATGGGGCAGCCCCTGTCCCTATCGCCTGGAGCTGCCCCCGTCCCCATCCCTATCGCCTGGAGCTGCCCCTGTCCCCATCGCTGTGGGACAGCCCCTCCTCGCTGTGCAGGTTGGGCTGTGCTGCAGCAGTGTACATTTGGGGGGGGGACGCACCCCACCTGGGCACTTCCAAACCCCTGTGTCCCGCTGCTCCCCACTGCCAGCCCAGGAGGATCCCTGGGGACACCCACCCCTAGTGCCTGTGCCCCACCGTCCGTCCCCCACGGTGTTCGGGGCCCTCCGGAGGTGATGCCCCGCACCGCGCTGTGGGGAAACTGAGGCACGGCGCCTCCCGCGGGGGGCGGGGGACGGACACCGCCCCCCGTTGCCGGCAGCTG